ATATATATATATATATATATATATATATATATATATATATATATATATATATATATATATATATATATATATATATATATATATATATATATATATATATATATATATATATATATATATATATATATATATATATATATATATATATATATATATATATATATATATATATATATATATATATATATATATATATATATATATATATATATATATATATATATATATATATATATATATATATATATATATATATATATATATATATATATATATATATATATATATATATATATATATATATATATATATATATATATATATATATATATATATATATATATATATATATATATATATATATATATATATATATATATATATATATATATATATATATATATATATATATATATATATATATATATATATATATATATATATATATATATATATATATATAGTATTTAAAATATATAAAATACTGTGTGACCCAAACTATCTGTGGGATGGTCACAGTACTAATAATTGTGTTTTACCATGTATATATACTATACTTTATGTATAACTGTCTGTTTATACTGTATCTGTTCATAAATAGCTCTTTGTAAACCTAATAAAATGGCAAGCACGTAACACATTTACTAGTATATATGCAAAACATTTTCTAAATTATAAAGATTAGCAAACTCTAAAATGTCATATTTGTAATAATGTAATAATAATTGTGTTGTTATTGTAATAATCAAGTCATTTTAAGTCATGAAATACAAAATAATAAAGTCATGTCCTTTCATTTATACTTTTTTCTTCCTAAACATGCTTCTAATGGCTGTATTTACAGTCCAGTGTTTCCTGTTGCTCAAACACCAGCTTGATTATATGTTTGGTCTGTCTTTTCTGCGGTGTTGAATGCATGTTTATTCCTTTGTTTTTCTTACAGATGCTCCAAAGTTCCAGACAAATCAAAGCATTTTCTACTCGTGGGAGGGAAACCCGGTGAACATCAGCTGTGAGGTGAAGTCTAATCCTGCGGCGACGATGCTGTGGAGACGAGAGCGCTTCACCATCTCCAGCCAAGGCACCAGCAACATCCGCATCCACAGCACAGACGGACGCTCACTGCTGGAGGTCCAAACATTACAATACAATACAATACAATTCATTCATTTTCTTTTCAGCTTAGTCCCTTTATTAATCTGGGGTCACCACAGCAGAATGAACCACTAACTATTCCAGCATATGTTTTACAAAGTGGATGCCCTTCCAGTCACAACCCAGTACTGGGAAACACCTATACACACTCATTCACTCACACACACTCTAATGTCAATTTAGTACATCAATTCCCCCATAGCACATGTGTTTGGACTGTGGGGGAAACCAAAGCACCCGGAGGAAACCCACGCCAACACAGTGAGAACATGCAAACTCCACACAGAAACACCAACTGGCCCATCCAGGACTCGAACCAGCGACCTTCTTGCTGTGAGGCCACAGTGCTAACCACTGAGCCACCGTGCCACCCCCAATACGTTTATTCATTCATTTTCTTTTCGGCTTAGCTCAGAGGTCACCACAGCGGATTGAACCGCCAATTTATCCAACATATGTTTCATGCAGCAGATGCTCTTCCAGCTGCAACCCATCACTGGGAAAACACCTCATTCACACACTCTCATACAATACAGTCAGTTTAGTTCATCCATTCCCCTATAGTGCATTGTGTTTGGACTGATCCAGCAGGGACTCAAACTAGCGACCTTCTTGCTTTGAGGCCACAGTGTTAACCATTAGCCACCGTGCCGCCCCCAATACAATACAATATAAAGTGTACTTGTATAGCACATTACAAATAATACAGAAAATAGATGTTTTGTTTTAGTTTTTTTTTTTGTTTTTGTCGTGCTAAAATCTTTCCTGTTAGCTGATACGTTTCTCTTTAAGAACTTACAGTAGTTTATTTTATTGATTTATTTATCATACGCACTTTGACTGACGTTGCTGTACTGATGCATGTGTTTTCTCGTCTTCAGGTCACTCCAGTGTCCGACAGGGATTTTGGACGCTACAACTGCACTGCCAGAAACAACATCGGCGCTCGATACCAAGAGTTTATACTAGCACAGGCAGGTGTGTGTGTGTTTACCAGTAACACCAGTACAAACACTGCACTATACACATGCCTTTTAATTTAATTAGTGCTGGGCAAAGATTAAGCGTGATTAATAGCATTTAAAATTATTATTTATTTTTTTTTTACATAAAATATATGTGTGTATTATATATATATATATATATATATATAT